CCCGCCGAGTAGGGAGCCCAATGCGGGGTTCAATCCCAGGACCCTGGGATCATGACCTGAGCCGAAGGCAGACGCTTAACAACTGAGCCACCCAGGCGCTCCTCTAAATCCATTTTTTATACTTTAATGTATACAGGATTCACATGGGAGTTTTGCTAAAATGCAGATTCTGATTCAGTAGGCCCTGCATAGGGCCTGAAATTCTGCATTTCTGACAAACTCTCAGGTAATACTGATGCTGTGGTCCTTGGATCACACATTGGAGGCAAGAGACTACCACTAGGTCCCCTGGCAATTTACTGGAAGGTCAAGATCTGAACACACCAAAGTGGCTCCCAAACACCTTCCCCTGCATTCTTAAGAGGCCATTCCACTGGGTCTTGCATTATCCTCATCTAGCTTTCAGCTTCTCCCTGGGGAAGGGAGCTGGGCGTCTCCCCTGAGCTGGAGTACTTTGGGGCACAGTAAATGCCATTTCAGTGTCATGGTAAAGAGGTTAAGAGCATATACTCTGTGGTCCTGCCACCTAGGTTTCTGTCCTGGCTCTGCTGCTTACCAACAGAGCAAGTGGCTTAAACCCTCTGAACCTCAGTTTGCTTATCTTTAAAATAAGAGTAAATACAAAAGCGATCCCACAGGGCCACTGGGGAGGATTCAATGAGATAATGAGTGAAAAGCATACATCCCAGTGTCTGGCATATTGTAAGTGCTTAATAAACGACAGCTCGTTATCTTTACTGTGTTTATTGTCATGGAGGATGTCACACAAAGTGCGACTGTCAGGGAGAGTTGGGGAAGTCTTCAGAGGGGAGGCAGGGAAGATCTGAGCAAAAGGCATTAAATGTTCAAAGGTGGGGAAGGGGCGACAGGGTCACCTAAATCCTACCAAAGTGTCAAGAACTCTTTATTATTCCTCTGGATGTGGAAGCGTGGATATTTTAAAAGAAGACATACTTTGAAAGCAATGCTTAACAGAGAAGAATGCACAGTGGAAGCATCGGGGGAGTTTTGTTTAGTTGTTTTGGAGGGAGTCATCCAGGGACCAAGTCTTAAAAGAACATGGTACCCTAATGGATGCAGGAGGACTCTCTGAGTGACCACTGGCCCAGCTGCCCCCATCTGAGGCCGGACTCTTCTGTCCACAGGAAACTGCTCTGAATGTCACAGCAATGCCACCTGCATGGAGGACGGGACTGTCACAAGATGCTCCTGCCAGGTGGGTTTCACTGGTAACGGCCTTGTGTGCGTGGACCTGGATGAATGTGTCATCCCTGGGGCCCACAACTGCTCCGAGGACAGCAGCTGCGTGAACATGCCGGGCTCCTACTTGTGCACCTGCCCTGACGGCTTCCGACTGACGCCCGGGCTGGGCTGCACCGACGTGGATGAGTGCGCCGAGCCCGGGCTCAGCCACTGCCACGCCCTGGCCACCTGTGTCAACAGCAAGGGCAATTACTCGTGTGTCTGTCCTGAGGGCTATCTGGGGGACGGGAAACACTGCGAGTGCTCCCCGGGCTCCTGTGGGCCGGGACTGGACTGCGTGCCCGGGGGCGACGCGCTGGTATGCGCGGACCCATGCCAAGAGTACCGCATCCTGGATGAGTACTGGCGCAGTGCCGAGCACGGGGCGGGTTACACCTGCGACATGGGCCTGAGCGGCTGGTACCGCTTCGTGGGGCCGGGCGGTGTGCGCCTGGCGGAGACCTGCGTGCCGGTCCTGCACTGTAACACGGCCGCGCCCATGTGGCTCAACGGCACGCACCCGTCCAGTGACGAGGGCATAGTGAGCCGCACAGCCTGCGCGCACTGGAGTGGCCACTGCTGCCTGTGGGACGCGCCCGTCCAAGTGAAGGCCTGTGCTGGTGGCTACTATGTCTACAACCTGGGAGCGCCCACCGAGTGCTATCTGGCCTACTGCACAGGTGAGTGGGCGTCTCCCCCTACGCCCCACTCCAGACCTGGGTGGGCCCCACGGGAGACCGGGGAGCATCCCTGTTGACTGACAGTGTCTGTGATCCTGCAGACCCCAGCTCCGTGTTGGGGACATGTGAGGAGTGCAGTATAGACGAGGACTGCAAGTCGGATGATGGCACATGGAGCTGCCAGTGCAAACAGGACTTCAACATCACTGGTGAGACCAGTAGGAGAAGGGCAATGTGTTGAGAAATGTCAGCAAGTGGGGGAGGCACACATTCCTATGCGCGAGTTGGGGACATATGGGGATGATGCAGGGATGCATATCATCCCATCTGAGTGAAAAGTGGGTCCAGTAATATCTGTTAAAACCAGGAGAAGCTCTCTGGGCTCCTGGGATCCCTTTAGTGGACCCCAAAGCTCCCAGAGCTTGAGGAGCCTCCTTAGCCCCAGCCTTCTTCCTGAGGCTCCCACACCACAGTACAGGTGGCTGCCACTTGTTGGCCACAGGCTGCCTAAGCCGGATTTCTGCAGCTCAAGAACACAGGACTGGTGGGGCACCTGGGTGGCTCAGATGGTTAAGCGTCTGCCTTCAGCTCAGGTCATGATCCCAGGCTCCTGGGATCGAGCCCCACATCGGGCTCCTGGCTCAGCGGGGAGTCTGCTTCTCCCTCTCCCTCTGCCTCTCTCCCCTGCTCATGCTTTCTCTCTCTCTCTGTATCTCTGTGTCCCAAATGAATAAATAAAATCTTTAAAAAAAAAAAAAAAAAACAGAAGAAAATGTCCCAGCATGCTCAAAGTGTTAGTGGCTGGGTAGCGGGGACAAGATTATTTTTTTTTCTAATTTATTTAATAATGACCAGGTACTGTGGTTGAAATGTAAAATAAGGTAATATACTATTCAAAGAAAGACGGAATACAATTTGCAAAATAGCAGGACCATTAGTAGAACACGGTGACAGTGTTTCTGGGGTAGCGCTGGCTTTCAGTCTTTATTAGTGTGAGCTTGCACAACATCCCTTCTCTTCCAGATGCACCCTGGTCGGAAAAGTGTAAGGCACTGTTCCCAGTGTTGGAGGAATTGGGCAAAAAGTATCAAAACCACTCGACAGTCACCATTGCCAAGATGGACATCACGGCAAATGACATTCAGCTGATGTACCTAGACCGGTACCCCTTCTTCAGGCTCTTCCCCACTGACTCTCAACAAGTAAGGGGCTCTTGGGACCCACATACCTGAAAATATCATTATGTCATTATCATGGACCCAGTTTCTCCTGATCTCCAGCTCTGCCTTCTACCAAATCAGCTTCATTCTCAGCTCCAGCCCCCATTATCCTCTCGTGTTCAATTTGAAGAGTGTTTTCCATTAGCTTCCCCCAAAGTCCCAAGACTTCCTAGAATTGGGTCCAGCTTGGGTCAGCTGTTCTTCCCTGACCCAGGCATTGTTATCAGGAAGATGTGGGTGTCTTGATAAGTCAGGCCTGGTTCCCTTTGGTACTGGGGCTGAGCTCTACCCAGACTCTATGGAATAAGATGGGGGTGGGGAACTCCACGTGAATCTTGGGGGTGGGGTGCTACGAGAAGAAGGAAGAACACATGATAGAAAAACAGGTCAATGTCTTTTACATACCAGTATCACAATCACCAAGCTTTGCCAGTGTCATGGAACATACTCTCTGTGCTGCTTTGGCACCTGGGGAAGGGTGTCCATCAAAGCACTGCAAGCAAAGGTTCCTGCCCCAAGAAGAGTATGACTGAGAGTGGAAGAGAAGTCATGATGTGGGCCCACTTCCACTTGCAACTGGAATTGAAGGGGACAGATTCTGGAGCACAGATATTCCATGCAGACATGGAATTTTAAAGAATGCTGAAGATTTAAATCAGATTAGCAGAGGGGTGTGAACTATAGGCAGAAAGTATAATAGGCATGAGGAGGTGGGCAGAAGGGTGGCCACAGCCCTGTGAAGGAGAGGCCATCCTTCTGGTACAAAACATGCACGTGGGGGAGTTGTGGAAAATGAGGCTGGGTTGAGAGGGTGGAGCTGTCACAGATCTCCCATTATCTGAAAAGGAGTGTAGACAACCAGTGGGCAGTAAGCAGCTTCATAATCTTCTTAAAGACTGAAAGATGAAAGGGAACTAGGGATGGCTAAGCAATGATCATGTATCAGAAGCTTTGTAAAATAATAACTAGTCATAATAATAATAATAACTATATGTAGTGCTCACTGTGAGTCGGGTACTGTTTTAAGTGCTTTTCATATAGTAACTCATTAAATTCTCATAATAACATATGTCGTAGGTAATATTATCATCTTTACATTCCAGATAGCGAAACTGAGTCATAGAGAGGTTACACAGGGTTTGAGCCCTGACAGTGTGGCTCTGAGGTCTGTGCTCTGAACCTATGATGGAGGAATTTTTATTACCCTTATGTTAGAGCCATGCTAATGGAGGCTCAGAGAGGCTAAGGAATCTGCTCATTGTACTCAGGTTGTTAGGAATTTGACCCTGGATTTATCTTATGTAGCAATCCCTGAATATTTTGCAGGAAGAAGCTACCATTTTGACCTTGTTCTGTTTTCTTCCTAGGCTGTACTGTATACAGGAGAACACACCCTGATAGGCTTTTCTGACTTCCTGGAAAGTCAAATCAAGATCAGGATTGAGGATGAGGATGAGGTAAGGCAAAAACGGCAGTACCCAGGATTATTCTGTTCCACAAAGAATCATCAAGAACTCAAACAACTAGGGAAGAGTGTGCCAAGAGTCCCATAATCTTGTGTTCTCTGGAGCTCTCTGACGACGGGTGAACAATGACCTATACTGAATGACTTTATTTCAAGGGCACTTACTACAAGGAAGCAGAAATAGCAGACTTTAGAAACAGACGGAAAGACTGTAAGGTCTCCTAAGGCTGCTTCCCTGGGTCCACCGTTCCCGAGTTGGTAACCAGATGTCTTGATGGATCCAGCTCTTTGGCATTATTTTCCTGATGGATGGGATAACCATCCCCACTCTCTCCGAATCCCCAATCCCATTCATGCCTCAGTGAGGCCATCTGTAGGAAGGTGCCATCTATATTAGTTAGGACCCTTTCAGTTGCAAATGTCAGAAACAATACTCTTTGGTTTAAGCAATAATGGGAACTTCATCCACATAACTGGTAAGAACATCAAGCACAGGTGGATCCAGGAGCTCAAACTCATTTTCTGTCTATCCATCTCTGCTTTCCTCTATGTTGGCTTTATTCCCAAGCAGTCACTTCCCCATGGAGGATCAAAGATGGCCCCACAGTTTTAAGCTAATACCCTCCCAGCTTAGGAAGCAAGCACCCGGGGTGCCTGGGTGGGTCAGTCGGCTAAGTGTCTGCCTTCTGTTAGGGTCATAATCCCAGGGTCCTGGGATCGAGCCCCGCTTTGGGCTCCCTGCTCATCGGAGAGCCTACTTCTCCCTCTGCCTGCCTCTCCCCCTGCTGTGGGTGGTGGTCTCTCTCTCCCTCCCTCTCTCTGTAAAAAAAAAAAAACATAAAATAAAAAAAAAAAAAAATCTAGTAATACTTCCAGTTGTGAGGAGCCTTGCAAATGTAAGTGTTCTGAGAGAGAAAGAAAGAAAGAAAGAAAGAAAGAAAGAAAGAAAGAAAGAAAGAAAGAGAAAAAAAAAAAAAGAGAGAAAGAAAAAGAAAAGAAAGCAAGCACCTACTTCTTTGTGGTCCTAACAAATGTCCTGGATAGGGATTTCATGAGAGGCCTGGGTCACACGTCCAGCCCTGGAGCTAGACCTGGGGCAGCCACATGTGTGGCCTTCGAGTGGAGGAATGGGGTTTTCCAAAGGCCCTATTTCTGGAGGGGAAAAACCATGGTTGGGAACTTCTTCACCTAAGCCAAATGGGCCTTTGCATCTATGAGGATCCTCCAAGTGCCTCTCTCTGGGCATTTCCCGTAAAAGAAGGCTTGGTAATTACAATCACAATTATCACATATTTCTTGCCTCTTTATTTCTTTATCCTATTTCTTCCCTCCTTCCCTTTTCTTGAATAGCTGTTGTCTGTTGAGCAAAGTGAAGTGACAGAAGAGGAGGCATTACCTAAGGAAAAGAAGGTACCTTTTATCAAGGAAGAGTTACCTGACCAGAAGTTGCCTGAGCTAGAGAATGTGACTGTGCTGGAAGAGCCAGCTGGACAGAAGGAAACAGCTGAGGAGGAGGAGGAGAAGGAGAAGGTGGCTAAGCCAAAGGGACCTCCAAAACAAGGGAAGAAACCAAAAGTGAAGGAAGAACTGTAGCTTCTTCAAAGCCAAGAGCCATTTCCCAGATGCTGACATCATTTTCTAAGGGGAATCTACTCCAAAAAAATTATATATCATTGTGGTGGATGGAGGCTAGATGATTAAAAACTCCTGAATGTCTTTGGCCCTGTTCTGCTCATTGCCTTTTTCCTGATTGGAGCTACCTTAGAAGAGCCGTTTGGTCTGGAATTCATACAGGGTTGCAAGCAAAGCCATAACTGCAACAATTAATGAGTATTTACAGCATGCTGCTCAGTCATGCGATTCTCACAACTTCACTTTCATTACCCCCATTTTACATATGGGGAAACTGAGGCAAAGAGAGGTTAAGCAACTTGTCAGGATCACACAAGTTAGGAAGCCCTTGAGATATGATCCTAGGCACTCTCACCCCAGAGACTGCATTTAACCACTATGCACACACCATCTCCACTAGGTTGGAGTCCCCAGGGTGGGGACTGATTTATTTATGCTGCATTTTGACACAGTAAGAAAGAGATCCAGCCCCAAACATGTCCCCAGTCTTCTATATCTCAGTAAGTGACCCACTCTCTTAAGCAGTAACGTGCTAGCATAATGCTCAAGTCCCTTCGTTTACTACCGTAAAAGTAACTCCACCAATTGGTGTGACTCCACCCACTTGCACTGACTCCACCCCTTCCATCCAGTGACATGCCCCACTTATCTCCGCATGACTCCACCCACTTCTTTCCATGTGACTCCACCCACTTCCCTCCACCTCCTCCCACCATTCTCAGCCCTGGAAGTCTCCCGAATTGTGTGCTTCTACTGCCATTCTGTACCTCCCTGCCCAACACCCATCCATATTCCATAAAGTTGCTGAAATTATCTTTTAAAAAGCCATAGTCTTGAAGGCTTGCAACACCACCTGTTTTAACTCTATAATGGAATCTTTATCGCTTTTAGAATAAGATCCAGTCTGTTTTACCATGCCTTCAAGGCCTGGAAAATTCTGGCCCCACAGATCTCTTCTGCTTTTTCCTCTCTCCCTCTCATTTTCTAGGCTCCAGCCATGCTTCCTGTCTATTCTTTGAACAGTTCAAGTGCTCTCTCTCCTCATGGTTGTTACTTCTGCCTAAATGCACACGTAATACACTCCCACAGATCTTCATGCAGATGTATTTTTCATCCTTCAAACCTCAGTTCAAATGTCACCACCTCAAAGAGGCCTTCCTAGATACCAATATTTGAAAGTATCCTATTTTGCTGTGCACTAATATACTGCTTGCTTCCCCCACTGGTGGGTAAGTCCCTGGAGAGCAGATATATCTATTTTGTTCCACTGTATTTCCAATGCCTAGAACACTGCTTGGACACACTAGATGCTCAGTAAGTAAGTATCCATAGATCAAATGAAATTTCTTATCAGGCAGCACCCCACCTCTGAGATACATGATTTCACTGTTCATCCCAAAAGGGGGAGGTGCTGACAGTGTTGCCTGGAGACACAAATTAGATTCTGTATTAGTTTCCTATTATTGCTCTGATAAATTGCCACAAATTTAGTGGCTCGAAGAAGTACCAACTTTCTTACAGCTCTGAAGGCCAGAAATCAGAAGTCAATTTCACTGAGCTAAAGTCAAGGTGTCATCAGGGTTGGTCCCCTATGGAAGAATCCCTTGACTTGCCTTTTCTAACTTCTGAAGACTGCCTGCATTCCTTAGCTCACAGGCCTGCCCAGACAACCTTACATCACGATCCTGAACTTAAATCCTACTGCAAGGTCCCTTTTGTCATGTGAGGTACCATTCACAGCTGCTGGGGATTAGGACATAGACGTACTGGGAAGTCATCATTCAGCTGACCACAGATTTCATGCTGCTGATCTGTGATAATCATTTTGGCCAAGTGATAATAGGGCTCCTCTTGGGAAAAGAGGGGCCTATTATTTTACAGACCAAGGTCTCTACAAACCATCTGGGCCTTTCTACTTTCCACCCGTCATGTAAGAGAAAGGCTGTTTGTACTCCTTCAGGCCTCCTGACCCAGCTCCTGGGCCTCCCTCTTCCCCCCCAAACCCCCTGGCCTGTCCACATCCAGATGAAGCAGGGAACAGCCTGGGGCCCTGGAACTCACCTGAGCCAGACTGCCCCAATAGGGGCAGGTGTTAGTATTCAGGACATGGTGTGAGGCTCACCTGCCTCAGCCTTCAGGCTATGTGGCTGCTAGTCAAAGGAGGGGTTCATGGGGGCTGTTAAGAATAAATCACGCGGAACAGAGTCCCTGACTGGCCACCAGCCAGAGAATGCATGTGCTACCTGCAGGTCCCCCATATGTATCTGGGGCCTCAGGAAGTGGGGGCTCAGGTTGGGATAAGCAGTTATAGGTAAGTAAGGCCAATGATGACCCTTCTGTTGGGAGAGTTGTCTCCCTTGGCTCATTTTTTACCACCCCCCCCACCCCGCCCCAACACACACTACTCTCACAAAAATCCTTTCTATTCTGTTGAGCAAATTTCTCCACACCTTAGCTTCACTCCCTCAAAAAAAGACCTGAAACCACTTATCCCTCATGGCTGAGCACGGAATGCTTTTTACCCCAAGGAGCGCAACGCATCATAGAAGTAAATCTGAATAAGATAAGGGCTATAGTATGGATTTACCACGGGCTAGCTGGGTAATCTCACGGAAGCAACTCAGTATTTCTGAACTACAATCTTCTTGGTAACATGTGTTGTGGCTCATTGTCTGAGACAATAAATGTAAAAGCATTCAACATAGTCTCTGACACAAGAGAGGCACTCAGTAAGTGACAACTGTCAAGATTATTAAGATCAAGTTTCTTACCCATGTTTAAAAGTTAAGAGCGGAAGAGCATTCCAAGAAGATGGGAACTTTTGATAAAGTGAGTAAGGTTTGTTCAGAAACAAATATTTTTTGGCTACTTTTCTGGAAGTAAGCTAAAGAAAAAAAAACAGCGATTGAATTTGGCAACGTGGATGTCTTTGGTGATCCTGATGAGCAAGGTCAACGGAGCTGGCAGTTCAGGAAGCTTACCAGAATGAATGTGAGTGGAAAGTGTGCAGATAAATCTTTTGTGAAGTTCGGCTATGAAAGGATGGAAAACAGGATGGTGGCTGGAGGGAGTGTGGGGTCAAAGGAAGCTTTCCACAGAAGGGACTAGCAGAAAAAAATAATTAAAAAAGGAAAGAAAAGAAAGAAAGAAAGAAAGAAAGAAAGAAAGAAAGAAAGAAAGAAAGAAAGAAAGAAAGAAAGAAAGAAAGAAAGGAAGGAAGGAAGGAAGGAAGGAAGGAAGGAAGAAAGGAAGGAAGGAAGGAAGGAAGAAAGAAAGAAAGAAAAAGAAAGAAAGGGACTAGCAGATGAGAATACTCCAAGTGCTTATGAGAAGAGGAAGTTACAGGAGGAAGGGGTAGGTGAAGGTGAGGAAAAAAGGTTATCAGCCCAGGAAGAAGGATGCTGCTTCCATCATGGGAGAGGAGAAGTGGAAGGTGAATCCAGAGGCAGGAAGACAGAGAAGTTGAGGGAGGCAATGCTTAGTGACTCCAGTGAGAATGCCATGATGTCATTAAATGTGTGGGGCTGGGCGACGGTAGGAATTTTGAAGAAAGACTGGAAAAACAACAAACTAGAGGAACACCACAGGATGCTCCAGCTGTGTTGAGGGCAGGTGATGCTTACTGTTTTAAAATGTAAGTTTTGTTATTATTATATGACAAGGCTAACAGATGAGAAGATGAATGCCATTGAAAATACAGTTGATTAGATTCCCAGATCACAAGAGGAGGGGGCACACGAAGAAGTACCAGGGTCAGTCAGGAAGCCAAGGGATAGGGGAAACATGAGCAAGAGCCTTTCTTGTGGTTCCCATGGGAAGGAACAGGAGAGGCAGGGAAGCAGGTTGAGGACTGGATAGTTTGAATAATTTCAGCAGGTCTTGGGATGAGGGACCGGTCCCGGTTGTCTGGTGCCTGGCCCTGGGGTGATGAAGGCAGGGGAATAGTGGCCCTGAGTGTGAGAGCCCCCAGCAAAGGAGGGCTGGTGGTGGTGGGGGGGGGCCCCTCTGGGTGGTCAGTTTGCATATAGAAGGCAGATCTCTAGCCAGCTGTTGGCAATCTCTAGGAATTAGTTAGCCTGGGAGGGGCAATCCCTCCAGGGTCAGCAAAGCCCCAAGATGTACAAGCATCAAATACAGAAACTGGAAAAATGTGGTTATTAGACTTATGAGTAATCTATAACACAAATGCCCCATATTCCTGCCTATGGCCTTTGCCCAGACAACTCCAGGAGCCACCCGGAGCCTCCATTTTAATCCTTTAAAGACACCCGAACTCGGGTTTAGACCGGGCCTCATATGCACCAACCAGAAATTATATTCACCATCCAAAAATGGAGAAAAAGAATATTAAGAACTTTTATTTTCTTCTTAAGCAGTAGGGGGAAAAAAAGAAAGAAAGACACAGCCAATTCAGAAAAGAAGAATAAGTAACACACGTGAAAAGATAATGATTTCCCTTTTCACTGAAGAATTACAAAAGTAAGCAATGAGATTTCTCACTTCTTTTTTTGACAAAGATGAAGGAAAGTGTACAACGCTCAGGATTGGTACTATGGGATTGTAAACTAGTTTATTTTTTTTAAGATTTTATTTATTTATTTGAGAGAGAGAGAGAGAGAGAGCACGAGTGGGGGGAGGGGCATAAGGAGAGGGAGAAGCAGACTCCCCGCTGAGCAGGGAGCCCAACACAGAGCTCCATCTCAGGACCCCAAGATCATGGCCTGAGCCGAAGTCAGATGCTTAACTGACTGAGACACCCAGGCGCCCCTAAACTAGTTTATTTAAAAAAAAATATATCTCTGGGGGTGCTGTTTGGGAAGAGGTATCAAAATTCTTAAAACTGCACCACCTCTTTGACCCAGAAATTTCACTCCTACAAAATTATCCTGAGGAGATGATTGCATAGTGCTGATGGTTACCCTACCACTAAATGAGACAGGATAAGAAAGATCCTGAAAAAGTAAATGCAATGGGTCATTGTTCTATTTCCTGCTCAGCCCAAGTTTACACATATTCAATTTTTCTCTATGGGACTGACTCTTAGACTGGATTGCCATCTACATGGGACTGCGTCAGGAGCCATGGGGTTGAGCCCAGTCTCTGCCATTTCGACCCCTGGACTGTACATCAGCAAAGCAGCACTGACAGTGACTTCCACGGGTAGAATTGTTACATCACCTCTGTTCTTGCATCTTCTCCTTTAACCACCATAACAACTCTAAGAGCTGGGTGCTTTCCTTTTACAGACAACGAAAATGACCTCAGGAAGATTATTAAAGAAATGAGTCCTCTGGCACACAATAAATGGCTGATCAGCCACCAGGCGGACGGACTCAAAAGTCAGTCTCCTCAGTCACAAAGTTACCCACCTCCCAAGGGGGCCTATCCTCATGGGAACTCAGATTCTTTGTTTCACAGAGTGGGTCTGGTCTGGTGATGTCTCAGTTATCTTCAGGCTTTGACTTTCAACCATGGTCACCTCCTCTCCTGCTCATGTCCGGACCATAGAGGAGCTTGCTGAGCCCATGAGGATGGAGTGTGCTTCAGCAGGGTGCCCTCCCCAGGGCAAGAAACCCAAATGGCCACAGGTGCATGTCCTAATGGGGGCAATAAAAACCCCCTTTTGCCCCAGCGCAGCCTGGCTTCAGATACAGGCCTCTGCCGGGCTCCTTAGGTCCACCTTGTCCTTCTCAATGACCAATAAAACGCCTAGTACCTTGGCACTGCTTTTCCGGTTAATTTCTAACTAAGGAATCTCTTTATATCAAAAGGTGCAAAACAGAGGCCTTATATTTGCAGGCACAAGTTTGACCCCCAATGTCAGTCATTTGGGGCGTCCACATATTAGGAAAAAGAACAACAATCTGACAGCCTAGGAAAGGAAAACACTGTGCCCACAGGGGAAAATATCCTACCCTCAAGAATACAATCTCAAGAAACAGAACCAGAGAATAATTGGAGGAAAGACTGCCAGCCAGGGGCAGATGTATATATAGGAGGCACACACTTGGAAACAGACTAATTCTACCTCTCTGGCTTCAGGTAAGGCTATCTATGGCTCTCTCTTCTCCTAGCCACTTCTCCCCCACCTAGTTCTCTGCTAATTCCCATTCTGTTTGGGAGAGGGGGGAAGGAAATGAAGAGATTGGACACCTGGGTCAGACCTAGATTGGGTCATTCCTCTGCTGACTATTGGCTTCATTATCTTCAGTTGGTCAATCTCCCTCCCTTCAAGGCTGCACTTTACTAATAACAATGACTACTATTTCTTCACTCATTCAACAAATATTAGCAAAGTGCCTACTATGTACTAGGCACTGGAGATATAGCAGTGAACAATAGCATTTGCTATGTGCCAGGCCCTGCTTTGCTTATATCATCTTAGTTAATCCCCATGACAATATGCAGTCAGTTATCATCTGCCACAGTGTTTTCACGACCCATTAGTAGATCATGAAATCGTTTGTGGGTTATACCCAAAATTTTCTTTTAATTAAATGTTAGAGACTATGTCAGCAAGCAATGCATACAATACTAAGTTTTTTATAAAACTTATTATTTTGTGTGTGTGTGTGTACCCATGCACATACACAAGCAACTACACCAGGTTATGGCAAAAAGTATTTTCCTTATAGCAGATCGTGATCATAAAGGCTTGGAAAACACAGCTCCAGAACACAAGTTCTCTGATCACAGGGACTTCAAACTGAGCCTGGCACATCATAGGCACTCAGTTTGTGAAAGCAATGATCCATATTTCATAGATGAGGAAACTAATTATTAGCGAGCTGAAATACCTTGCCCAGTGTTACACTGTCAGTGATTAATAAAACAGGGATTTGGATCCTGGTGGCAGGCTCCAGGTCCCACACATTTAACCACCACTTACTACCCTAGTTTGTTGCTGTAAAAATTGAGGCAATAGTAATACCCACCTAGGATTATTTCACCAATTGAGTGAAATAATAAGTGACTGCTCTGGAAACACCAAAATCCATTGTGAAGGTTAATCATCTCTGGAGTTGCTTATCTAAAGCAACTTCTTTACAATATGGGTTGCATGAAGTCAGGGATCTTGCCTGTCCTATTCATGGCCTTCCTCGGTGTGTAGCTCCCTGTTTGGCACATGGTAGCTACTCAGTAAATGTTTGTTGAATGGATAAATGGATCTGGGCAAGTTGAAAGTATCCCAGCAGGGGATCAGGAGTGGCTGTGAAAACCTAAAGCTGCCTCCAGTAAGATGAGGAGTCCAGAACACACTACCCCACCTTGCTGCTTCCTGTTCCAAATGAGACTCAGTTCTTCCAGATTCGCTGAGACTGGGGGAGCAGAGGCTAATATGGGGGTGGGAGGATGGGTGGGGTAACAGAAGGAAAAACAACAAAGCAAGGGCCACTACACTTCTTGTAGTTCATATAAATGGCATCTTCTGGAGTTGTGCAGTGCAGGACCAAAGCACTCCTCCCAACTGTGGGGAAGTGAGTTAGATCATGCATTTATCCCATCCATCTCTGTTCCACAGGACTCCAGGCATCACAGACAGGGAGGAAATCCCAAGGGGTCAACCTGTCTTTGCCTCTGGGCAGGTTCTCCCCAGACCAGAAGAAGCTGTGAAGAGCAGAAAGAATGGGGCAGCTTTCCTCTCTGATCTTGGTGTGGATGGTAGTCATGGTAACCTCTTGGGTCATCACAGCTGCATCCACTGACACCTTGGAAGCAAGTAAGTGGGGGGAGGGGGGTGTTTGTGTGTGTGTGTGTGTGTGTGTGTGCAGGGAACAATGCTGCTGTTAACAGAGGAGATCTGGCTTCCTCTCCTATCATGCTTAGAATTTATTTTTTTTTTAAAAGATTTTATTTATTTATTTGA